TAGGTGTGATGAAAGTGGCCGTGGTGATGATGATGAGGGGTGCTGGTGGTAATGAGTGTTGTGAACGTGAAATCATTGCATTAGTGGTGGAGGTGGTGATTTGGTTTCCAGTGACAGCCAAACACACGGGGCTGATATGGGCAACCTCCGATTTAACCATGTGGCCTTGGACAGAGGGCTCTGAGGCATGTGGGTCCACAGGAAGACTCATGGCTACAGAGGTGATATGATGACTCAACTTCGAATTCCTTCATGGAGTGTACCAGCAGATGAAGTGACTCTGAGACTCCAAGAATGCAGGCCCTTTCTCTGCATGTGAGGGCTGTGGACAAGGGAACAGAAGCTACAGAGTAATAGCATGGGAATAGGTGGTCCTTGGTAACCAATATATTCAATGTTGGATGATTCAACCTTAGTTCATATTATCTTATTTTATAGAGCACCTTATTTCATGGTGGTTTACTTAGATTAAAAGTGGTAACAAAAATAGAGTGATTTAGATGGCAGGCACGTGCAATGATCGGGGAATGATTGGCCATAACAGAGGGCACATAGGGTCAAGAAAGAGCAGGTGAGAGACGGGATGGAGTGGAAGGGTGAGAGGAGGGAAGAGGAAGGAAATGGGCAATGGAGAAGAGGTGAGCTTTCAGATAGGAATGAAAGGAGGTTAAGGAGGGGACTGCTTAATATACAGAGAAAGTTTATTCGAGTGTAGCGGTGCAAGGAGCGAGGATCAAAAACGAGATCGGGCATGGGGAGGAGGGACAGAGAGAGATAGAGAAGATTGGGAATGAAGAGGATGAGAGGGGACATGGAAGGACATGAGAGGCAAAATGAGGTAGGTCAAGGCAATGGAGATATTTAAAGACAAGCATCAGTTATTTGAAATGACAGCGGTGTAGTAAACAGGAAGCCAGTGGAATGGAATGATGAGAGGCAAAGTGTGAAAATAAAATGGGAGATTGAAAATAACCTGTGTGTAAGCATTTTTTGGAGGGGAGTGATAGCGTACGCAGGAAGACCAAGGAGAAGAAAATTACGGTAGTCCAGATGGGTAAAGATCAGAGCATGAACCAGGAGTTTGGCAGCAGAATGTGATATGAGGAGTTGGATATCCCTGGTATCGAATAAATGAAAGTGGCAATTGCAAGCAGGAGTGGAGATGTGGGTGTAAAAGGTGAGGTAAGAGCCAAAGGTGACAGCAAGGTTGAGGACAGATTAAGCAGAAATGAGGGAGAGAACAGGGAAGGAGATGGCGGGGGCGGGAGGGGGCGAGAGGCCAGAAATTTAACTATTGATTTTTTGGAAGGACCTCGAGAGAGAAGGTAAAGCACCATCCAGGATTGGATGGCAGCCAGGCCAGAGGAGGAGATATGAGAGGAGTCAATGAAGGAACTGTGTTGGCCTCGATCTCTCAGCCGCTTTCGACACCATCGACCATGAGATACTCATCAGGCGGCTAAGGTCAAGGTTCAGTGTTTCATACCGACATGGTAGATCACAGTTCATCAAGCTGGATGATAAATAGTCATTGTATATGCCATGCCTAAATGACGTACCACAAGGGTGCGTCCATGAGCCCTCCCTATTTTCAACATACATCTCTCTGATCACTGATGTTATCTCATCGCATGACATCAAGTTCCATAAATATTCTGATGATACACAATTGTACATCTGTAATGCGAGCGTAAATGGGCAGGCCGGATGTGACGATCCGCGAGGGAGGAATCAGGGTCACGTGGGAGAGGGAGGAGTCAGGGTCACGTGGGGGAGAGGTTATAGGAAGGAGACCAGAAGACATCTGGGCAGTCGAGGGAGTGAAGAGGGAGACCACATTGGGTGGCCGCCGTTCCCTCAGCCGCGAGGCTGATAGGGCTCGCCAGACGGCGCCAGCCAGCGGGGTGCGGAGAGAGCGGAGTGCGCGGGGCGCACAGGGCGTGCGAGGTTGTACGGAGCAGCAGAGTAGCTGCAGAGCTAGCGGAGGGCTAGCAAAGCGTGCGAGGTTGCACAGGCAGCAGTGTGGCTGCAGAGCGGAGCAGCAGTGTGGCTGCAGAGCGGAGCAGCAGGGTAGCTGCAGAGTGCGCTGGGGTGCAAGGAGAGACGACGCTGGGCCGAGGAGGAGGCCAGCGGGGTGAGGAGGAGAAGAACATCAATAAAGGACCAATGGAGATCAACATCGTGTGACGGAGTCCTTTATTACACATTGCATTGAAGTCAAAGTTAGATATGGAGAGCCACGTTAACCTCGAAGATTGCACGTGAGCGGTGCACGTGTGGTGTATAGGAAACGAAATCCTGCTTAATCCAGAAAAATCAGAGGTTCTGCTAGTTGGCACTTAGGCTCAGACAAGAACAATTGTGGATCAGGTGTGGCAGTTGTAGACTCCAGGATTCAGTTTTATACTCAACTAAAGAGCCTCAGCACCATACTTAACCAGAATGTCGTTTGATAATGATTTTCAAAATACATTCAGGTCCTGCATTTTTATATCAGGGCTCTATGACACGTTCAGCCAATTTTGAGTCATGACATAGCCAACACGGCAACATGCCGCATAGCATCAACAAGACTCGATTAGTGCAACGCACTACTCTACGGGGCATTTGGCAAAAAACATTCCCAAGATGCAGTGTGTACAAAATTCTCTGGCACATGTCGTGGATTTGGCTAACCATCGAACGAAGACGATCACTACATCACACGCTTTTGCTTCTGCCACTTGTGCTATGCACTTTTAAATCTATATTGAAACCCCATTTTTTTAGAGCTGCTTTTTGTGTTTAGTTTGTTGTCCTTCACTTGCACCTCCAAGTAGGCACGGTTGGCTCTGTACGGTACGAATGTAGTTCAACATACATTCAGGTATAGAGCAATGGGGGGAAAGTAGACAAGGGATGACCAAATGAGCTCAACCTTATAGTAAAAATGGTAGGAGAAGGCCAAATTGGAAAGGGAAATGCAAGGAGAGGAAAGAGTAGGGTCAATTCAATTACTCAATACTCTGGTAAATAATATAGGGTTACACATAGATATGCCTCAATTACCTGAGCCTTGTCTAAACAAGACCTTTTTATTATGGAGAGGTGATTTCTACAAACAAACATGAGCAGCAATTGTCTTTTTTTCGTCTCCTGCTATTGCAAATCTGTAAATGGAAAATGTTTAAGCTAGAGCACTAGCTTCAAGTACACTAAACCTCTCCAATTCGTTGATATATATGGAAGACACTATGGTTGTCTTGCCATATGGTAAAGATACACATTTCTAAATTATCTCAATTCGCAAAACCCATCCAGTTTACCATGGAAGTATAGATGGAGAAAACCCTACCATTCCTGGATATTCTGCTCGAACGTGGCCCAAATGGTAAAATAACATACAGCGTTTACCAAAAGAAAATGCACACTCATGCCTATTTAAATGCAGATTCACATCACCTCACAAAGAAATCCTCTCTCAATAAGACGCTCGTGCATCGGGCTAATTAGGTGTCAGATATTTAAAGTCTGAGCAGTGAAATTAAACAAGGTAAAGAAGCATTACAATTAAAGGTTACAATAATGCACAAATTAATAGAGCACTGAATGCCAAAACCAAATTAAATAGCACAAATGTTGAAATGTAGCATGTATTTAAAACGATAAAAATACTGTAGGTTGCAAGAGTAACTAATTAACTCGCTAGAGTTTTGGAAAATCGAAATCCGAGATTCGGCATGATACACAAAATACAAAAACTGGTATCTGGTACTAAAAAAATATGATGGAATCTATCAAAAGAAGGTGTGTACCAGATTAGTTTATCCTGTGACCCATGATGTTGGTCAGACGCGACAAATTATTAGCATAAGGCTAAAAGAACACCAACTAAATATTAAATACTCATACGACAACTTTTGGTAGTTGCAGAACATGCTTGCCAACAAAGACATTCAATGTATTCATATTCTTGGTTCTTTCGGTAAAGTCACGTAGACGGGAAATAATAAAATAAAAATAAATCAATAAAATCCTCACGACTTTTCGATTGCAACACAAGCAATCATCATCAATGTATTTTGATAACGTTGATATGTTGTGCAAAACTAATTATTACTGGCCAATAATCTATTGAAATTGAGAGAAATAAAACATAATTTTTCATCCGTATTCTTTGGGTCTTTCGGTAAACTCACGTAGATAGGTTCAAAGAAAATAACAAAAAAAATACGTTTCGATCGCAACACAGGCAGTCATCTTTTCCTGATGAAGACCGCTTGTGTTGCGATCGAAACGTAGTTTTTTGTTATTTTCTCATAACATATCTACGTGACTTTACCGAAAGACCCAAAGAATATGAATTCCTGCAGTCACGAAAGCTTTAAGTAAATATTTTTTTATCCGTTTTGACAGCTATAGGCTTAATGCTGCTTGGAAGTGTATTATTAAGTAATACACCTTTCAATTACATGCCTATTCAATGCATAATATATTCAACAACTGTGATTAACCCATCTGGCAATATGTACTGCATATTTTCACATTAACATATCCATTATAATTTATATGATTACAGTCAACCCCACTCCGATCTTCACACCTGATAGGATCACAGTGATGGCATCATCTTGCTCTTTTTAAGACTGGAAGCAGGAAGACATCTTCACAATTCTGGTAAATTGCCTAATAAAGCTGGTTGTAATCACCAGTGAAACGTCGGTCTCAATTGTACATTTTGTGGATTTACTCGCCATAACAACTATGCGTTGAAGTAATCGCTAATTGGCACGTTTTTTGACATGACAAACCTTACTAATTGGCTGTCGGTTGTGGTTGGGAAACGACACATTTATATTTACGCAATCCAACACAAAAACCTTTATTATGAATATTGGTCTCGAAAGTCTACATGTTAAACAACACCTTCACCCCACATTAAATAATACAGAATCTCTGAGCAGCTTATAAAAATGAACTGTCAAGATATAAGTGCATTCAAAATGAAATATTCACATTACCTATGAAGACGCTCACTCGTCGAGAGATATCCCCATCAGGAGGAATCATTGAAAAACAGTGTGCTGCTGTCATTATCCAATGAGGTGAAATGATGGTTCCTCCACAGGAATGATGCTAAAAAAGTATACATATATAAAGAATATAAAGGAGAGTGGTGACAAGTTTAGAAGCACCATAGTATTAAAATAAGTTAATCATCTTGTTCGGTATTATTTATTTTCAGTAAATAATGTTCAAGATATCACCTCAAGTGAGACACATCACCATTTGTGGTATGGAAAAGGGAAAGCTTTTGGACTTATAGAATAATTGTGTAAATGATATAAAAAAACACACACACCCATAGCATCATTCTCTTTGAAACCGAATTAGTTCAGACGAGTTGAATGTTTACATAGAATGTAACATTATAAGTATTACTCCCATCAGTTAGTCTCGCTTCTTTGATGACATCCACATTTATTCCATCTGGTCTAAAAGCTTGCCCATCTTCCGTGTGGCGAAGGGCAGAGTTGGCTTCAAGCGTTATACCTGGAAGCTCCACCTGCCAGATAGGGTCTATTTCCTGGGCTATGTGCATTATTCTGCTAGAGATATGCATAAAATCCCTGCCCTAAGTTTAATATTATATCTCTATGAGTTATTCCATTTTTCTCCCGAATGGCAGCCATTTGCAATTGCTAATAATAAACCTCTTTGTTGCTGCTCTCATTGCTTGCTATGACATCATCAATCGTTCTTGTAGGTGTGGGACCATTTTGCCAGTATCAAGATATTGCATGAAAAAAAGGTTGACCTTTTCTAGAATAAATACATAGAGGTATTAGGATGTTCAAACACCAAATAGACAATAATACAAGGCATTGTTTACATACTTTACCATATGCTTGTGGTTAAAAAACCAATCTGCCTTGATCATATATGCACTGTCCTTGAAACTGATTGGCTTGCGCCAGAAATAGTCTCTTCTATGGCAATGTATCACAAGTCCTACATCAAAGACCGCCAAAAGGTGAGCAGTACAAAGACAATGCAAATACCATTTAATTAATAGCTATAACTGCTCAACCAGAGGTATCTTCTGCTTTTTCCCACAAGTATGTGGTTAATGCGGACATTATTGGCGTCTGTTGGTGTTTTAACTTCCTAACACTTTTCGTGAGAAAGGGTAACGCCTTTTTATCAGTCAATAATATTTGTTTTGTTGTACTTTCAGATGTATTTTTTATTCCTCTCCTAATCAATCTACAAATTTGTTTAGCCAGTCTCTTTTTCTAGCTCTCTTTTTCCTCCATAAATCTTTTGTGGTTTCAGACAACTTGTTCTGTTTGCTTTCTGACATTTCCTCCAGTTTGAATGTACTATCTATCACCAAGCTAGTTAGTGCATTATATGAAGTGGTGATATCCATATAATAATTCTGTTATATTTCACCATTATTTTACTTCTTTTCAGTGAAGGTCTTTGCACTGTCAACTTACCTCTCCTATTTGTATTCGGACATGCCAGGGCCATTCTGTAATATTTGTGGCTTTTCCATTAAAGATCCGAGATAATCTGAAGAGTTCATGATATGTTGCAATACCACATTTGTAGTATAATGTTTTATCTGTAAAAAAAAAGTATATTAACACGTTGCACTTTAAAGACACTGCATGGTTACATTTGAGTCTAAATGGAATGAGCACTTATTTGAATTCACGCCAATGTAATGTACACACTGATTTGTTACACCATTGTAACAAGTTTCAAGGCATAGCTCTGCATTTCATCAGTGCAGAGTATTTAGGAGTCACGAGTCTCACCACGACGTGTGCCTTCACATTTCGCCACTGGATATTTTCTAGCCAGCTGTGAAGCGTATTATGGTGAACAAGACAAGAAGCCTGAGGCTGTGCAAACCATTGCGGGTTGGTACATAGAACATGAGAACGTTTTTCCAAATTGGTGCAATATTCCTCCTCTGAAAAAACTTTAGAGGGCAGAAATTATCATCTTGGGACCCTAGGAGGCACAGTGACTCGGTGCTGGTGAAACTACCACAGGAAATGACACTGTCCTGTGGTCAGGGCCCCCAAACAGCGATTCCCATCTTGCTGGAAGGCCATTGTCCTTGATCAGGCAGCCACACCAGCCCTAATAGAATGGCACCCAGTAATCGGAATCTTTATTTATACTGGAATAATAAGATGAGCTATGAAGATTGTTTTCACAGATATCCAGTAGGGGTGGGTTAGAAAGTTACAATACAAAACCTAGAGGAATGCAAAGTATAGGAAAGTTAAGCAAGTCGCTAATTTAAAAAAATATATAGTACAAATTACAAAAGTACATCAATTCCTGCCGATTTCCCATCAATAAATGCAAGCTTGAGCAAGGCAGTAAAACAACAAAACAGTCCCAGACCACAGCAAGACAACACACAGTCCCTCAATAAAATTGCACATTAAAATTGAACTAGCTATATACAGGTGTAGTGACTATACTTGTGACTGTGTGGTGCCGGGATTTGTGAAGTCACGGCCGGTAATGTTATTGCGGGCAGCCCGGGTTGCGGGCTGCAGTACTAACACTAGTGGTAGTTTGGTGAGCACGGGTTAGCGCGAAGGCACCGTGAGCAGTGTGCGGTGCCGGCTCCCAGTGAGGGAGCGAGAGCGAGCGTCAGCCAGCCAGGGTTACTCTGGGGCATGATACTCTGGCTGACCTGTTGTCACTTGACCGGACGATTCTGGAGGGGGGCCACTTGTGGACGGGTGCCGAGGGGCGGTCACGTGGTCCCGGAGAGCTCTCAGGAACATCCGAGAAGGGGCTCGAGGAGCCTGGAAGGTGAGCGGGGCTAAGGGCGGATCCAGCCCCAGCACGGGAGCATATAACGAGAGCTCAGTGAGGAGCTTGGGGTTCTTCAAGTGTCGGTGTTCGAAGATCCACGTCGGGGAGAAGAAGCCTCTAGCCACGCGGTCCTCTTTTTGTCTCTCTTACCTTCCTATGCTGCTGATTGAGTCCCTCTCTTTTCATTGCGAATCGTTTAGTCTTATTAAAAAAGTATTTTGTTGGGTTTGTTAGTCCAGTTCATTGTGGAATCTTTTTTTCTGCCTTGCATGTGTTTTGTTATTATTATTAGCTGGGACGGCTATCTTTTAAACATGGGGGGGGGGGGGGGGGGGGTGATGTAATGACAGGGTGCCATCTGTCGGCCTGAAGAGGTAATCGCGGTTATGGGTATATTATGTAATGCCTAGTTATGAGGTGGGCATATCTGGGGTAAAGTTGAGAGGCCGGGTTAGTTGGGAAGCTCCAGGAGCCTGCTTGAAGGTTCTGGAAGGGGGCATGTTCCGGAGGTGGGGCTTGGCCACGCTGGGGCGTATATAAGGGGGACCGTCGCCACTCGCCATCATCTCTCTTCATCGTCCGGCCACATGGCCGATCTTCTGCAAGGCCCTCATCGTTGCCGTCGCTGCGCTAGTCAGACAGCTGTGTAGTTGGACGCCGACGATCGGGTTCTGTAGAAGGGTCGGCTATGTGTAGCTACGTAGAACGTTACGTAGATGTATCGCCCAGTTTGTGCTTAAAGTGTGAGAATAAATAAGAAGCCATCTACACGACGTGTCTCGGAAGTCGCTCACTACACATGTATATGTGCAGTATGTATTAATGTATGAGCACTTTATAAAAGTAAACATGCCAAATGATGAATTCTGATGGTGTCAATAGTAACAAACCTGTATTAACAATCCCAATTTTCTGAAGCTCTCTGTAATTCAGCAACATAAATGAATGCCGTTCACCCTTCTTCTGGGAAGCAATTGACACGAGCTCTTCCTTGTAGACATTTCCAATTCCAAACGTGTAAATATCTAGAAGATGACAATGTTAGTAAAGAATGACACCAGACATCTGTAATTCGTAGCATGTGTACATTACATGTACCATAACAAGAATACAAACTGCTTTACATTTCGATAGTTTTAATTTTGTATAATTATGTTCGTGACAGAAATATTTTCGACTATAATGAGCCAAGAATGTCTGTGTGTCCCCGCGCATGACGTCACTCCAAGTCGGCCAGCCCCCCTCATTAATACTCATGAGCGGGTGACGTCACTCCACATGTAGTACCCCCCCCCCCCTCATTAAAAATAATGAGCAGGTAACGTCACTCCATGTCGAACAGCCCCCCACATTAATAATCATAAAGAGGTGACGTCTTCCAAATGGACATCCCCCGCCATTAATATTAATTATCGTGCGACATCACTCCACATGGGGGGGCGAGGCGCCTCCTCCCCCCTCCTCAGCATCAACGTGCAACCCTCACTACAAAGGCAGAACCCTCACGTCACGCAATCTCCGTAACGCTATTGAGACAGAAGTAAAAAGTCCATGATGAACAAGGGATTATAACCTTTAAATGAAATAGGTCTGTGTCACCGTGGCCTTTCAAATTGCACACGAATTGATGCAATGAATATCACGTCGCGGTCTGCTTTTCGCTTGCAAGTTTCAGATTTACTGAAATACACCCTTCCTTGGATGAGCAAAAGGCTAGTAGTGAGATAATACCTGATATAAGTGCAAATAGTTAGAAAGAAAATACATAGTTGCCCTTGTGATATATAAATTAGAGAATATATTACAGTTATTCTTTGGTTTTTTCGGTAAAGTCACGTATAAAGATAAAATAATAAATTAAATAATAGCATACGACGTTTCGATTGCAACACAAGCAATCATCATCAGGTATAATGAAATAGCGACATAGAATCTAACCAGAAAACTCTAGACAGACATGTAAGCAGACAGATATCACCAAGATACATAGAGAGAGCAACCCAGGAACAGAGAGGGGTGATCGTCTCTGTGGGGTGGCCTTAAATAGACAGAGGGGGGGCAGAGGGAGGGGGTAGGGAAATGTTTTTTTACATGTCAATGAGTACGTTAATTGTGTGTTGACCGACTCTCTGTGTCGTTTTACATAACATTTCGATACTTTGCTAGGTTATTTAATTTAGTGTGTTCTGTCTCCCTCTAAGCCTGCTTACCTTACTTCCCCTCCCTTCGTACTCATTGACATGTAAAAAAAAAAATTCCCTACCCCCTCCCTCTCTCTGCCTCCTCCCCCCTCTGTCTATTTAAGGCCACCCCACAGAGACGATCACCCCTCTCTGTTCCTGGGTTGCTCTCGCTATGTATCTTGGTGATATCTGTCTGCTTACATGTCTGTCTATAGTTTTCTGGTTAGATTCTATGTCGCTATTTCATTATACCTGATGATGATTGCTTGTGTTGCAATCGAAACGTCGTATGCTATTATTTAATTTATTATTCTATCTTTATACATGACTTTACCGAAAAAACCAAAGAATAATTCCTGCAGTCACGAAAGCTCCTAAAATTAAGATTGAACCACTTCTACGGGGAAGTTCCAAGTTTACCTTTTTCTCTCTCTCTGGGTTTTTGTTCTCTCTCTCTGCCTGTATATTTAGTGTAATTTTTTCTGTCTACATTCGTTTTTTATCGTTCTTAGGTTCTGCTCTGTCTGTGTGTCTCCATTACTCTTGTTTTTATGTTTTGTCTTTCTTTGGAATTTTCACACTTAAATTCTAACTTAGCAATCTTTGAAATACGTAATCGACCAGGCTATGCGTTAATTGTGTGTTGACCGACTCTCTGTGTCGTTTTACATAACATTTCGATACTTTGCTAGGTTATTTAATTTAGTGTGTTCTGTCTCCCTCTAAGCCTGCTTACCTTACTTCCCCTCCCTTCGTACTCATTGACATGTAAAAAAAAAAATTCCCTACCCCCTCCCTCTCTCTGCCTCCGCCCCCCTCTGTCTATTTAAGGCCACCCCACAGAGACGATCACCCCTCTCTGTTCCTGGGTTGCTCTCTCTATGTATCTTGGTGATATCTGTCTGCTTACATGTCTGTCTATAGTTTTCTGGTTAGATTCTATGTCGCTATTTCATTATACCTGATGATGATTGCTTGTGTTGCAATCGAAACGTCGTATGCTATTATTTAATGTATTCTTTTATCTTTATACGTGACTTTACCGAAACAACCAAAGAATAATTCCTGCAGTCACGAAAGCTCCAAAAATTAAGATATTAGAGTGATGTGAGCTACTACGAGAAGATGGCTACCATAGATAGTTATAATAAACTTAGTATGGATGTATGTTGAGATTCTTCTGCACCATACGTAACCAACCATGCTAATGTTAGCCATTTATGGTACCGGGAATTAAAGCGGCACACAGAGGTCGCACAATAACATTTAATTGATACAATTTCTCAAATTGAATTTATTGCATAAAGAAGATTTGTGAAATAGATTTTGTTTGTGATACAAGTCGTAAAAATACTGTTTTAAAAGGAATGTGCATAACAGTTTGGATTATCTGAACACATATAAATGGCATATTCAACACTTCTCCACATCAGTAGACCTTTGCCAGTGTAGTAGGTTCCAGGAGACTTGAACGACGTAGTTGGAGGCACACTTATTTATTAAGCACAAAGTACATAACAGGCCGAGATGTACAACAATCGAAGGGGTATCGGCCCCTTCACCCATCTAACAGGGAGATCAACACTATGTCACAGCTAGCCTTACTCCTAGGTCCTCCACTACAGGGCTAGGGGAGGCTAGCTAACCCAGCTCTGGTTAAGCTGGGATTACGGCACCCTGACCGGCTCTTACAAGAGGATCGGCTCTGGGCTCTTGGGGCCACGCCACTGGCTTGCCCTGGTCGGTCCTGAGAAGGACAGCAATCCAGGGGAGTCCCAGGGCCTATCTAGCAGGTCTTCTTGCTTCTCTGGTGAAGGCTGAACACTGAACCCCGAGCCCTCCGGCTCCCCGCCTTATATAGCAAATCCTCCACTGAGGGGTGGGGCCGTGGGGGATCCCAGCGCCATGTTAGCCCCCCAGGCTAAACGGTGCGGACGTGGATGTAAGCACCTCTCGGCGTACGGGCATAACCACGCCCAGTGTGTTTGTTTGCCCTCCGTAACACCTCTACATCACCCCCCCCCCCCCCTGTAAAGCCCGCAGCCGTCCCAGCTGCAACAAAATCTCAATAAAGATGCATCCCCCCAAATCCGTGTGTGCCTCGCGTAATTTAACAAGAACAACAACTTCTTGGTTCTTTCGGTAAAGTCACGTAGAAGGGAAGTAATAAAATAATACAAATAAAACATAATAAAATTATTCTCACGACGTTTCGGCCACAACGCAAGCAGCCGTCCTCAGGTGAAAACCTGGTCCGTCGAGGCGACGGACTCTGTCGCCTCAACGGACCAGGTTTTCACCTGAGGACGGCTGCTTGCGTTGTGGCCGAAACGTCGTGAGAATAATTTTATTATGTTTTATTTTCATTATTTTATTACTTCCCTTCTACGTGACTTTACCGAAAGAACCAAGAAGATGAATCCCTGCAGTCACGAAAGCTTTAAATCAAGAACAACAACAATGAACAACAACAACAATAAGAAAGAGAAAAATAACCCGACGCACCCCCCCCGAATACCCCATCCCGTAAAAAAAACCCAACATATATACAATTTCCAGGACCCCCCCCCCCCCCACCCCGCGACCCCCGCAAGGGCCGCACAAGCGGCCGATCTCACAAAAGTCTGCGCGTTTTGGCGCGCGTTCTTGCAGCGGGGCCGTCACAAGGGGCAACCCCGGTTGGCCCAGTGGTGGGTGTCAACAGTCCGGGTGCGAGAGTGTCTGGCTTCGCTGCTGAGCGACCCCCGACCCCCCGGGAGGGGTTGGCGATCGTGAGCACGTCAATCCTGGTGCACCTGGAGGTGGAACAGTCAGTGGCAAGTTAGGCGAAAGCAGCGAAGTCGGACTCCGGGAATCGGTGGACCCCTCACATGTTTGGCCACGCGTGTGTGTGGTAGGAACATGGGGCGCAACGAATGGTTTCAACCTGGAGGGGTGCACGAACCACCGACGCTTCCCCCATCGGATACGCACACATTGTGGCCGCAAGACCTGCACCACTTCCACGGGCGCCCACCACCGCCGCACCAGCTTAGACGAGGTCGCCAGTGGTATTTGGGGACAGTGCAACCACGCCTTGTCACCCGGTTTCCACTGGAGCACATGTGCCCGACCCAGCCTGAGCCTCTCATTCGCCCTTTGGCGGAGTTCTGAATTCTGGATGGCCGCCTCCCACGCCTCTGTTAATTTAGCGATGTTGAATTTGACATGGTCGGTAAATTTAGATTTAGCATGCGGCGTGGAGATCTGCAGTTGAGTCGCGGCCATACATTAGGAAAAAGGGCAAAAATCCGGTCGCCGCATGAGGAGCCATCCTGTATGCCGCCAAAACCCCCGGAATATGAAGGTCCCAATCGGTCTGGGATTCAGAGACCTGTTGGGACAGCATAGACGTGATAGTCCGATGCAGACGCTCCACCATCCCGTCAGTTTGCGGATGATATTGGGAGGTACGAATTTTTTTCGCTCCCAGGAGCTTGCATACTTCGTGGAGAAGTTTACCAGAAAAATGTTTACCCTGGTCGGTCAGCAGCCACTCCAGAGCACCCTTGTCGAGGACGTAGCCCTGGACAAAGGCCTCCGCGATGGCTGCTGCCGACTCGTTGGCGAGGGGCCAGGCCATAGGCCATCGTGTAAAATATTCTACCCCGGTCAATAGGTATCTATTTCCCCTAGGAGTAGCGGGGAATGGGCCCAGAATATCAAGCGCAACGAGCTTGTTAACCCAGGAAACTTTGATAGACTGCAATGGTGGGTTGGACCCCCACGCTGGTGGCTTCCGTTGCGCGCACTGAGTACACGACCCTAAAAGATCATCCACGTCCCTTGCCATGCCCGGCCAA